TCGAACATGGTGCTGCTGGTTAAAATAAGTGCTGATCGGCACCAGAACGTCCACCAAGATCTATGACCGATGGCTACCTAGCGATAGGTACCCCAGAATTTCTATCTTAATTCCTGCTACTGATCGAACATGGTGCTGCTGGTTAAAATAAGTGCTGATCGGCACCAGAACGTCCACCAAGATCTATGACCGATGGCTACCTAGCGATAGGTACCCCAGAATTTCTATCTTAATTCCTGCCAATGATCGAACATGGTTCTCAGCATCTGGGGAATCTTGGCCGAGGTCGTTCGCCGATGTCGGAAGCGGCGACACCGGTCGGTGGTTAGGGTGGAATCCGGTGGAGCGGATTCAATGTCGCCCTCCAGGCTGGAGGCTAGCACGGTTATTAAATGGGTTCGCTCAATTCCCGAGGGCGATGGAGATTTCCCCCCTCCTGGTCGCAGCATCCACGTCGAGGTGTGTTGCTATCGCGAATGTTTCGGGAACGACCCCACACCGAGTGTAGACTCGATTCGTTGGGGACGCGACTTCCGGAGGGTGACTTCTTCGGCTCCTCCTGGGATCTCCTGTTGTGGGTTAACCCATTCCAAGCCAACCTTATCATGAGACGACTCTAGGAAAAGGAGATTCTTTCTGTTCACATGGGGAAGCATGATAACAGAGTTTGAAGGGTGCGTTTTGCAATTAGGAAATGTCCATGCCGAACGAGGGTGGACATCTTTGTAGGTTCTTTTAGGTTGTTTCGATATCTTGTTTATTGTTGCTGGTCAATCTATCCTGGTCCGATCCCATCGACAGCTGATATCATCTAATCGCTTCAACTTTGATAGGGCAAAAATTCCTGGGATTTCTCGCTATCGTTCCAGCCACCGTTTTGGGAGAACTCCCGGCAGATCTTCCAAGTCTTCCAGGTCATATCTCGCGATGATAACGGCTCTTCTCAAAGTTTTTCCAGAGTAGGCCGAGGCTGTCCTGATGAGAGTTAGATCGAGCAAAGGGAAACCCCTCGGACTGGTCCCAGGGAATGATCTCCTTTTTCCTCAGCCTCATCTGGACCACTCATTCTTCGGGTCGCCTCGTGCCCTGCGGCTTCCGACCTCCGGATCTTCCGCGAGATTCAGATCCACCCAGGTCCGCAGAGATTGTCGCGATTCGGTGGAAATCTCGAAATCTGGAAATCTCGCCCAGAGGTGGTCCAGGGGATGCTGGGTGTCTCCAATGTTTCGCTTGATTGCTTCCACCGGGAGATGCCTTCCAGGACTCCTCCTCGGGAAATCAATATGCCCTCGATGCCAACTCTCGATTGCACTCCCGATAAGAGCGGAATATTATGCGGAATAAAATGCAGGGTGCATCTTTCTCCCACGTGCGAGGGTTCCAGGACAGATGGACACATCCTTGGATGATCGATTCGACATAATCTCCAGTGATATCCCCAGAAGATGACCAAAGGTGATGGCGAAACGAGACTTCGGAGAGTGTTTGGACTGCTCGTTACTAGAAGTCACGGCCGATGAAGGTCCAGAGAGCTTTCGCGTGTCTTTAAAGGGTGGGATGCTCCTCTAGGAGTGGCAAGTCGATAAGGGTGCAACAGAGGATGCAGTCCATTGTGCGACGCGAAAGGTCTACGATGTGCAACCGCGAAGATCCGTCTGGGTGTCATCCGGGTGGATGCTCACTGCACCGTGTGGCTCTTTTTGCTGGTGCTCCGCTTTTTAGCCGCAGTTCTCTCCTTCGGCTCTCAAAGACCGATGTCGAGAAGAAGCCACCCTGAGGGGCCGCGGGGGGAATTTCCTCGTCTTTGGGGACGACGAGACGTCCCATCGTAGTCGTAAGCTCTTCATCCCTCGCCATAATCCTACGTACAGGTCTAGGAACTCTTACGATAGGAGGTCATCGCCTAGTAACGTCGATTTTTCTTCAGCTTCGGGGATGGACTCGTTGCGATTGGGTGAGACTCCATGAAATGGCTTATCACGACACATTTCTGTGATGGGAAGCAGTCGTGATATTCCAAACATCTCCCGGAGGGAACATCCTCTCTTCCATGTATCTGGACCGCCACTGGAGGAGATCCGCAGATTTTAGGCAGATTCGGAATAGAAGAGGCCCGATATCTGCCCCCAGCAGTGGGTTACGCGTTTTGTACGACGGATCTACCGCCTGGTTTTCCGGCTTTTGAAATTTCTATACCGCAACGGGGTCAGAAATGAAAACAAAAACCTTTCAAAGAAGCCGGAAAGGCAGGAGCCGAAAAAATCCGGCGAAACTCAGCGGGCCGCGACATCGGCATCAGACTTTGCATTCTGCATGTCTCTTTCTAGATGGGTTTCTCATGGCGTATCCCTTTTTTTTTTTATGCCCACCAGGGTAATTATTTTCGCCAACTATCCTGAAATGGCGGCGCGGGGTGCAACAGTTTAGTCCCTCGAGAAAAATTGGCGAATGTTGGAACCGTGCCGAGGTACTTGTTGCAGCTTCCATTGGGATTCTTCTCGCAGTCTCTAGCCCTATTTGCATCCCTCCATTCCTCCGGTTATAGCTTTTTATTCCCCCACGTGATAACGCCATTCTTCGACGATGGTCCTCCAAGGTCCAAGTATAAAGTTCTATGTCTGGTGGCCATCGACATCGCAATAGATGCAGATGGTCCAAAAAACGTCTCTATCTTCGAAGGCTCTCTAAATCCAAGAACCTTCATTTCTTCTCTCTTAGACTCATTGTTAGTAATACACGAACTGGGGTTAAGATCTGGTACCCAAACGAAGGGATGCACCTGCTATTTGCTGATGCACCTCGCGGAAACCGCTCCAAGTGCTCCCCAATTCGGCGGAATTGGAGAACACGTCGATTTTCCGGCCATTAGGCTCCTAGAGAGACTTTCCTCCCGCGAACGAGAGTTTCGCCAGAGCAGCTTTAAGGCCGCGTAACGAGGGCGAGTATTTACCCCCGAGAACTCCGAGACAATGGGTCCCATCTCGCTATTCTTTATTCGTTTCGCTTCCTCGGCCATTGCTATCGGCGCGACTCCTTTCGAAAGAGTCCCAGGAAGTTGCAGAAGTCCCTGGCTGCACTTCCGAATGTTCACAATGCATGGGTGGATATGAGGTGGCCTCGGGAGCTGGAGACACGAACGTCGATATTGGAACAGTCCTGATAGCGACATCAACCAAGTCCCCACATCACCGCTGCGACATCAGGTCGATCCTTCTAGGAGTTCCTATCTATGTCTCTGTTCCCTTGAAACCTACCGAAGGACTCCAATTAAAGGATCAGAGTTGGGTGGAAATTTCGATCGAGGATCCAACACCCCCAGAGAAGTGTTCAAGGCATCCACCATAGGGATGCTCCACGTGGATATCCTCCCCATGGGTCTTGATGGAACCCAAGGTGCACGCTGGTTGCACTTCCGAATGTTCACAATGCATGGGTGGATATGAAGTGGCCTCGGGAGCTGGAGACACGAACGTCGATATTGGAACAGTCCTGACAGCGACATCAACCAAGTCCCCACATCCCCGCTGCGACATCAGGTCGATCCTTCTAGGAGTTCCTATCTATGTCTCTGTTCCCTTGAAACCTACCGAAGGACTCCAATTAAAGGATCAGAGTTGGGTGGAAATTTCGATCGAGGATCCAACACCCCCAGAGAAGTGTTCAAGGGATCCACCATAGGGATGCTCCACGTGGATATCCTCCCCATGGGTCTTGATGGAACCCAAGGTGCACGCTGGCTGCACTTCCGAATGTTCACAATGCATGGGTGGATATGAGGTGGCCTAGGGAGCTGGAGACACGAACGTCGATATTGGGACATCCCTGACAGCGACATCAACCAAGTCCCCACATCACCGCTGCGACATCAGGTCGATCCTTCTAGGAGTTCCCATCTATGTCTCTGTTCCCTTGAAACCTACCGAAGGACTCCAATTAAAGGATCAGAGTTGGGTGGAAATTTCGATCGAGGATCCAACACCCCCAGAGAAGTGTTCAAGGCATCCACCATAGGGATGCTCCACGTGGATATCCTCCCCATGGGTCTTGATGGAACCCAAGGTGCAATCCAGTCCACCCTCCCGGGGCATGCAGAGCGTGTTTATCCAGCGGAGTTCCTCCAGGAACATTCAACGACCCTAGCTTGGGCTGATCGAGAGGGTGAATTATTTAAAAAGCAGTTCGCCCTCTTTAAGGCGCATTCCGCCATTCCTTGGCCGTCGGCGGGGATGCCGAGGGGGGCCTTGGATGCGGCTCCATTCATGCTTATTTCAAGCTCATTGTGCACCCGGGGCATTCAGCCTTTGACTCTTGCCGAGCTACAGCAGGCGAGGCCGTGTGTCGCTCGGGACGTGGTCGTCGTTTCTTTTTCCTTTCCATTTTGCCCCCAGACCGGACTCGCCCTAATGGCGACCGGACGATGACGTCTGTTGCTGGGACTCTCGAATCTCGGCCGGCTTCGTTAACTATCTCGCCGACCTGGCAGCAGTGCCATTCAGCCATGGGGTTTGGCAACTCCACCCAAAAGAACTCCTTTGACGCTGTTCTCTAACTCCTGGAGAGTACTCTCCCTGCGACCCCACCAAGCATCTGCAAAAACCAGTACCCTGTCGGATTATTCACTCTTACAGGGTTCTGGATGTTGGAGCGAGTATAGCTGGACCTCCAAACTTTGGATCTGGGATGGGATTTCAATCTTAAACCATTTAATTTCCTGGTGCTCCTCGACCCACCTTCGTGGGCCCTTCTCCGGTCGGTCTGCGCGAAGTGGGTGGTGGTGTGTGGCGATGGACGAAAGGGAAGTTCCCCGCCATCCCGGTAGTTCGCGAAGGACGGAAGCGAACTGCAAACATTTCCAACTGGGTCGTAGTTATTTCCGTCTTGGAGGAAGCCGAGGGGAAAAAAAAGGGCGCGAGATACTTAGTCGTCGGCGTTTTATTGGGCCCCTGGCAAACGGGAAGCTTCGGCACGACCAGTAACGAGGGTCCTCTTCCGTTTATCAGGAAATTGCAGAAGCAGAGGGAGAGGCTGTGTCGGTTCGTGTACAACCAGGTCCTGACGGCGGAGTGCACCCAGCTGAACGGCACCTGGCCGGACTCGAATGACCCCCGCTGGAGCAGCGGAGAGTACGCCGAGCTCATCCCCGATTGGTTCCCCACGAACGCCACCAACGCCTCCGCTTCCGTTAACGTCACCTCTCCTACGATCCAGGGTTCGTAATGTCGGACAATTTCCGCCACCCTTTTTCTTCCGGCCTCTAGAAAAAGGCGCCAGATCCTGCGAAGAGGAAGGATTCGATCGCTATCGATGAGTCCGGGGTGGTGGAGTGAGATGTTCCAGGTGGAGCTGAGCAGGGAATTATCAGCACGGCATCGATTTATCGGAAAAGTCCATCGTTACGCGAACGCCAATAATTGGTCTCGACAAGTTGCCGAAGTCTTGATTTTCTTTTTCTGGATCTAGAGGAGGCGCTGCAGCCGGTTTTGCCGCCGTTCGAGTTATGGCAGACCGTCCTGATCGCATTGGGGCTGGCGATCTGTATAGTCCTGACGGTCGGGGGGAACATCCTGGTGCTGCTGGCTTTCATTGTTGACAGGACCATCCGACAGCCGAGTAATTACTTCATCGCCTCTCTGGCTGCGACCGACATGCTCATAGGTAACCGATGTTGGGTTATTCGAGAAAATGCGGTAGATGGATCGACCGGAAACAGGGTATTTATTGTTAATCATGACGCTCGTCGTTTGCAGGTACGGTATCGATGCCGTTCTACACGGTTTACGTGCTGATGGGGTATTGGGATCTGGGAGCCCTGCTCTGCGACCTCTGGCTCTCCGTGGACTACACGGTCTGCTTGGTGTCTCAATACACGGTGCTGCTGATCACGGTGGACCGTTTTTGCTCGGTCAAGATTGCCGCAAAGTACCGGAGCTGGCGGACGAAGAACCGAGTGATCTACATGGTGACCATCACGTGGATCATCCCCGCTCTGCTGTTCTTCATCAGCATCTTCGGCTGGGAGCACTTCGTGGGGTACAGAGACCTGGCCCCTGGTCAGTGCGCTGTTCAGTTTCTGAAGGAGCCAGTATTCAACACTGCCCTGATCATCGGATACTACTGGACGACGCTGATCGTCCTGTTCATCCTGTACGGCGGCATCTATAAAACGGCGTACGATATGCAGAAGAAAAGCGAAGCCAAACAGAGGAAGATGCAGTCCATGGTGGCGCTAAGCGCAGGCGCGATGTCCGGCATGGCTGGTCGCGCCGCTGGCATTGGCATCTCTAAAACCCAGAGTACCTTGCTAAGCCAGGACAAGCCCAAGGTAACAACGACCACATCAGGGAGCGCCAACCTACAGCCGCCAGCGAATGACGGAGGCACCAGCGGCGAATCCGCTTCCGGGCAGAAGTCGTCGAAGGGAAGTTCCGGCTCCAACCAAACCGGAGACACCGGAGGAAAGCAGACCACGGGGACAACAGCGGAGACAGAGAAGTCGGAGAGGTCCAGCAGTCCAGCGTTCGACTCCGACGAGGACAGCACGGTTGCTCCGACTCAGCAAGCCAGCAGCATCAGGAAGAGGTCCTCGCTTGCTGGGCTAGTGGCCCAGTCCGGAGCTCTGCAGGTTTTCACCACCAACGGAAGGATCAACGGCATCACCCCCGTGAAGGTGGCGATGAATCTCCCGGTGAAGAAGATCTCACCCACCACCCCAACGAGCGAGGTCGTCGCGTCCACGAAGGCCCAAGCACTGCCCAAGATTCAGGAGCAAAGTCTCCTGGACACCGACAATCCCGTGGAGCCGGACAGGTCCAGCAGTACCTTGACCCCGGAACAATCCCTGAAGTCTAACGACGCAGATTCCAAAACCACCGAGGCGACTCCTTCTGGGCAAGGCAAGTGCCCAACCGCGAGTTCCCAGTCCAGTGGCCAGCAGAACATCATCCCGCCTCCCTCTCAGTTCCAGAGCAGTCCGCCGATATCCGAGAGCCCCTCCACGTCCTCCTCCACCGATAGACCCAAATCCCTGGTGGTGTCTGCCCATGGCCAAGCCACTTACGACATTCTAACCGGCCTGGATGGTGCCGATCTGCGGTACATGGACGAGAGCTCCGTGATCGTCCCCAGCCCGTCCTACGAAAGTCCTCCATCCTCCTTCTCCTGCAGCCTCGCCAACCCTCTCTCCACGGCTCCGTCGTCGCCTATCCTAGGGAACGTCGCGACGTCCGCGACCAACACCAGCCTGCTCCAAGCCGCACTCATCAGAGCGACTGCCCAGCAAGCTGGGACCACCCTTCCGCCACAAAGCCAGCTTCCAGCCATGATCAACGCGTCCAGCCAAACTCATCCACCCCGTGTGTTCATCACCCATCAGACCCACGCCGCCTCGCAGACCTCACCCACTGTCAGCAAAGTGAACACCGAAGTCACTCTGCTGAAGGTCGAAGACCCTAAGGTCCAGCCAGTGACCACAGTCGTCGCTGCCACTCCTGTGGAGTCCTCCAACAGCTTCTCCGATCAACCAAAGCCTAATGTTCCGCCGCAGAACTCATCTTCCAGCAGCGCTGTGCCAACCATCTCGGGAACCACCAGTGGCGACACGAAGAGACAGTCCAAGAAGAAGGATGCCGATGTGGAGGGCGGATCTAGGAGGGACTTTGTCAAGTCTATCGGGAAACGGCTGAAGGCCAAGACCCAGAGGAAGGATCCAACCATGGGCAGGCAGAAGTCCAAGACCGAGAACAGGGCCCGCAAGGCTTTTCGCACCATTTCCTTCATCCTGGGTGCCTTTGTTGCCTGCTGGACTCCTTATCATATCCTTGCTCTCGTTGAGGGGTTTTGCGCTAACCCACCGTGCATCAATGGACATATTTACATGTTCTCGTACTTTCTTTGCTACGCCAATAGTCCTATGAACCCTTTTTGCTACGCGCTTGCTAATCAGCAGTTCAAGAAGACCTTCACCAGGATTCTCAAAGGGGATCTGCACATGACGTAAGCTGATGATGGCGCTGTCATGTTCCACTGGCTATACACTGATGACGAAGAAGACTTCGACTCGAGTACTCTTTTTGGGCCTCCATTAACACATTGTTCGACTTGCGCGATGAATCTATGGCGAGACCGGACAATAATTTATTCGATCGTGCTGTTCAGGCCAAATGTTTTTCACTGTTGAGGGGGTGTTCGTCTTCGAGAGTCCTAAAAAAGGTGTCCCAAATGATTTTTCTGTAGATAACAAAAGTATTATAACTTGTTGATAAATTCGTCGGACGGTTTCACATTTTCATTGAAAAGTAATTTAATCAGACAATTTTGATGGTCGTTTCTGTCGCGCCTAGTCAAGTATCTTGATCACGATTCCCGAAATTTCGGAAAAGAGGAAAAAGAGTCAATATCAAATGTAGAATGGGAAAAATCAATTCTTTGTTCCCGGAAATAAACGAATACCCCCTTAATCGGAGCGCTGCGGTATACAATACCAACGCTTGGTAGATTGCATTATCCTTGTACATAAAACAGCATGCTGGTACTGTGTGGGACCCAACCGAGTGTAAATAGTGTATATGTGTGAATATTTGCTAATTTATATATACACATATTTGCGCGCATCGAATGCATCGACCGCAGAGCAAAGTATTAGGTCGATGCAAAAGTAATGCCGTCATTTTACACGTTACGTTAGGTGTTAAAAACGTCATTACTTATTCCGCGACCTAATAGAACACACACGTAGCGGTAGGAGACCAACAGAGTATCGAGATAATAATTACTGACCGAGTTATCTCGGCGACTAAGTGTAAAGGTTTAGGGAAGCTTCGCCAAAGAACTTAAGGTGAAGTGAAGCTTCTATAAAAAAAATCAGTCGATTCGGATGTGACAGATTTTCGAATATCGCGACGTGTCTCACTTCACCTTAAAATTAGCGGGTAGATCTAGAGAGCAATAAGCGATGTTTGCAATAGCCTTAAGTGTACATTGTTATCAGTAGAGCCGCTACCAACGTGGTGCTCACCACGAAAGGCACAAAGTGAAATGGACGAATGGAATCGGTATAATGATTTAGGATGATAGCATCCACACCGTTGATTAGGGAACGTGATTAAAAAATTACTAATCAGATATCATTTTAGAATTCCGTGGAGTACAAACGTATCTGTATGGAGTATACTAAACTCTGCCGAGTTTCCTGATCGAACTCAATGATTGCCCTAATTTTGGCATTCAAATCAACCAATGACGCGTCTTCGCAACAATGCAAAATTTTTTTTGCGGCTCCACTTGTGTGGGAAAAAAATTCGTATGAACTCTAGAATCGGAAACTCGACGACTGCGAAATTGACAGTTTCAAATCAACCAATGACGCGTCTTCGCAACAATGCAAAATTCTTTTTGCGGCTCCACTTGTGTGGGAAAAAAATTCGTATGAACTCTAGAATCGGATCCTTGACCAAAAGACGTGGAAATTTGATGGCTGCGAAATTGACAGTTTCAAATCAACCAATGACGCGTCTTCGCAACAATGGTAAATTCTTTTTGCGGCTCCACTTGTGTGGGAAAAAAATTCATATGAATTCTAGAATTGGAAACTCAACGACTGCGAAATTGACAGTTTCAAATAAACCAATGACGCGTCTTCGCAACAATGCAAAATTCTTTTTGCGGCTCCACTTGTGTGGGAAAAAAATCCTTATGAACTCTAGAATCGGAAACTCGACGACTGCGAAATTGACAGTTTCCAATCAACTAATGACGCGTCTTCGCAACAATGGAAAATTCTTTTTGCGGCTCTACTTGTGTGGGAAAAAAAATCCTTATGAACTCTAGAATCGGATCCTTGGCCAGAAGACGTCGCGGTGTGGATGTCTGATCACCGTGGCAAGTTGTGTCGTGTGTATGTGTTCTAGACTGTTGGGTGTCTGTTGAATGAAGCCTCGGAAGCTGTGAAAGATGTGCGTCGATGTATGGTCAAAGTCTGGACAAGGGAAAAGGCCAGGGTGAGCGCCCAACCGACACCATCAGCTCCGTTGGTGGAGGCGCAGGGCCCAGCCTCTTTCATCTATCCACCGCGCATAAGTTTTACGCTTAATCTGACTCCACTTGAGCACGATGAATCGATACTAGCTACGAGAGAGATGACAAGAGGCAAACCGAGGGACAACAACGTCCTCGAGGTAGAACGAGACCAGAGGGTGGAGGGTAGGCTAGGGTGGTCCATGGTCCCATCTTTCACGGACTATTAATGGATTCGGCTAGGTTCTCTTCAAAAGATATTCAAATCCGAGGGCCGCCGATATTATCCTGCCCGTGGATCGCTTTAGAGCTTTAATTTAAGCTCCGGAAGGACGCCTCGAGAAGCTCGGCGAACTCAAAGCTCGTGGTTCAGGGAGAGCATTTTTTATATTTCTAAAGAAAAAGGAAGCTACCCTTCCCCGATAATCATAGCCGGTCGCTTTTCTTACTCTGCTTGCAAGCGAGGATTAATCTTGGAAGGACTTCACCCAGGATTTGCAAGGGTTAGATGCTGAAGGAGTCTTTCTGACGGGTTACCTAGAAGGATGTTAGGGAGTCTTTATGCTTTGTTGTCTAACAAAATTGTTCATTTTTCTTCGTTACGGGCCATTTTGAAGCGCGGATCTCGATCTGATTTGGTCACAATCGCGCTTTAATTGATAAATTTCATATCTCAATTTCATTGTGTGATTTGCAAGGGTTAAATGGTGAAGGGGTCTTTCCTGACGGGTTATCTAGAAGGATGTTGGGGAGTCTTTATGCTTTGTTGTCTAACAAAATTGTTAATTTTTTTTTTCTTATGGGCCACGTCGAAGCGCAGATCTCGATCTAACGATTTGGTCACAATCGCGCTTTAATTGATAAATTTCATATCTCCGTTTCATTGTGTGATTTGCAAGGGTTATCTAGAAGGTGTCGGGGACTTTTTATACTTTGTTGTCTAACAAAATTGTTATTGTAATAAAATTGCGCAGATCTCGATCTAACGATTTGGTCACAATCGCGCTTTAATTGATAATTTTCATATCTCCGTTTCATTGTGTGATTTGCAAGAGTTATCTAGAAAGATGTCGGGGAGTTTTTATGCTTTGTTGTCTAACAAAATTGTTATTGTAATAAAATTGCGCAGATCTCGATCTAACGATTTGGTCACAATCGCGCTTCAAATAATAATTTTCATATCTCCGTTTCATTGTGTGATTTGCAAGGGTTATCTAGAAGGATGTTAGGGAATTTTTATGCTTTGTTGTCTAACAAAATTGTTATTGTAATAAAATTGCGCAGATCTCGATCTAACAATTTTGTCACAATGGCACTTTAATTGATAATTTTCATATCTCCGTTTCATCGTGTCAATGGAGATTGTCCAGAACGAGTCGGAACTTTCGAAACCTATTTTGCATAGTGTACCAATGTTATACTCCTTTTTTTGCAGAGATGCAAAAATGTCTCGTGCTAAAGGTTGCAAATCGGGACACTCGACAGGGTTGTCTTCCAGCACGAGAAACTCCGTACGCTTATTGTACATACTTGTACATACGCGTAGGATCGTCCGATGTCAAAAGCAAAAATTGTAACGAGGTCGGCACGTACATAGAGTAAATATATACGGACATATACATAGGGTAGAGAGAGAAAGATTCAAATAAACCCGTAGGGGATTTAGTTTAACGCAGTTTTAGGACTCTAGAAGGCGAAGAAGAGGACGAGCGGTGCCTAGATAATACATAAAGATAATACATAGGTAGCCATCGATTATCAACATTGTACATTGTTTTTCATGTGGCAACGCTTACCCCATAGAGTCTCTGTTAAAAGTGTTACGAAGCAATCTCCTCGAATAAAGAATACGTTCTCCTCATCAGCATCCATTTCTTTATCTGGGTCTTTTTTTACTCTGATAAGAATATCATCTATTTATCTATGTCACCTAGAGGTAACTTGTACCTGAACCACAATTATCATTTTTGTTACCTCTTGGTTAGAGTTACCAAGAGAATCGAGTACTCTTCATTTCCCGCAGAGAGGAACAAAGACACCGATAGGTTTTTTTATACTCGTTATCAAATGTAGGTGCATCTGCGGGTGTTATCACAGGATGCAAATACAGGTGCAGGAGATATTTTTCGTGGAAAATCCTGTTTCCGGGTAAAGATGGGATCGTGTAAAGAACCACAGAAAGCTTAGATAATAAAGAGGAAATTCATAGCACCTGTTTTCTTATCGGTTGTGACGACAACACCTAATTTATGTAACAGTTAGGTTATCAGAAAGGTAACGTAGATACCTGTCGAGTAACCTGGTTTGGGTCTTTTCAAGTGAGGATGAGTTTCTAAGCGCCGCCGCTAGATGACGCCGTTCCCATGGAAACTGAAATATCTACAATCGATCTCTGTAACTCTGATATGAATTACGAAATGATCTAACAAAAATCACTAATTATAAATTCCAACTGTCGAGGCTGCAAGCTATTTCCAATTGTTTATCATTTATTTAACGCGACATTGAACATATTGCAATGTTGTTACGAGATTTATCTTTGTTTCCGTGTTTGAGAAAATGTCGCATTCGTATTTTCAGAGCATGGTAATATTTCAAATATTAAGAACTCGCATGTTAAACTTGATTATCGTTATTCTAGAATTCCCTAGGGTCGATCTACCAGCAGAAGGCGTTCGTTGTTACTAGATTCATCTTTGTTTTCGTGTTTAGGAAAATGTCGCATTTGTATTTTCAAATAATATTTCAAATATTAAGAACTTGCATGTTAAACTTGATTATCGTTATTCTAGAATTCCCTAGGGTCAATCTCCCAGCAGAGGGCGTTCGTTGTTTCCGTATTTGAAAAAATATCGCATTCGTATTTTCAAACCTACCATGTATTTAAAGCATGTTAATATTTCAAATATCAAAATTCTCGCATATTAAAATTCATTATCGTTATTCCAGAATTCCCTAGGGTCGATCTACCGGCAGAGGGCGTTC